TGATCTAACATGAAAATCTACTTAACATGCCAGATGACACCAGCGCTCCCCGGGACCCAGCCAGCCGGTACGGTCACCGGTGGGGATGCTCCTGTAATGCTGCTTGCTGAGGGTTCATCCTCCCAAGTCGAGCAAATGCAGCAGCCCATGGCTTTTAGGTCAGGATATATAACCTGCTTTCCTGTTTTGAAAGAAGATTTCCATCTGCACAGCTCTTCTGGTGGCTAAGCAGTTTGCAAATCCCTGTGAGTCAGGCTGTGGAGGTATCCCTGAGCATCTGCAGTCACTCACTCTGATGGGACAGACTGGCAAGCCAATGAAAGGGAAGCATTTTTGCTCCTCACACAAGGAATTTGACTCCAAATATGGTTCAGCTGTGAGAGGAACAGCTCCCTGCCGGGATGTGATCCTTCAGTCTATAAGTACCGGCTGTGCCATATCACATGAAACAAAAATTCCCGGGAACATGTAATTTCCCTTTCTATATGCAAAATCCTGTGTCTCTGCTGATGAGAGTCTTTTAGTAGCAGCACTGCCATTGTTTGCAGGATAAAAACCCATTAACTGCACATTACATTCACCTGCAATTTCCTCTTTTTGGGGTCGGTTGGGTTTCAGGATAACTCCTTTACCTGCCTGGAGGCAGTGTATGCTTTTCCAACCGTGATACTCGATAGCAGAGCATTGCTGCTGAGCGCTGCACCGATGCTACTAACCAAGACTGCCCTCTACCTCCCCAGGCTCTGCAGCACATCGCTGCTGCACCCCGTGCCTGTGTTGCTGCTGAGCACAGATTTTGGGGGACACAGGTGTGCCCCACTGCCAGGGGCGCAGAGGAGGCTTCCCCAGGCCCATGGCAGGCTGGTGAACGTGGCCTCCTGGAAACCTGCTCAGCAGGGACCGACTTGTGCTCCTCTGCCTCTCACTGAAGTTGTGCCTTTGGCAGCTCAGCAGATCAAACCCTGCATCTGCTTCACAGCGGGCCCCTTCCCTTAACTGGGACATCCCAAGTTTGAGGATGCCCTGACTAACTGAGCCTAAATCCTTGGGTTTTGCATGAAGATGAGGAGGACTGAATGGGAACAGGCCATGAGCTAGCCGCTCGCCATGTCTCGTTATGCATTCACCTCTTACATCACCATTCCAATTAATGAGACTTTACAAAAATCTCTTATTACAAAGAGAAGAAAAATTGGGCCTTTAACATAAGCCCACTGTTTTCACAAAGCTGTTCAGTCTAACAAGAAATTAAATTATTTTTGTTATCGGAGTAATGCATAATACATTCATTTACAATAACCTGCGAAAAGAAAACTTTACAAAATTGGCTGTGACATGTATGAAAAGAGATGCCACAAGATTGTAATTTAAAAGGATGGGCAGCTAATTAAAAACCCAGTGCAGTGGTTCCAACCGCAGACCCAAACCATTCTAGAGGCTGTATTATCTTACTTGCATCACATGTGTTAAGCCATCCTTATATTGCTCACAAAGATAATGCTTATATTTTGAGTCTGTTTAACAAAGAATTTCTTGAGAGGGAGGGAAATCTGAGCTGATTTATTAATGACTTGATTTGGGGTTAGATTTTCTAATGCATGAAATGAACCATTTGGATCCCAATGACCTTCTGGGAATGTGCTTGCACTAGTGGTGGGGTGTAAGACAGGCGGAACTGGCGCTGAGGACCCAGCGGCTGCACACGTGTTGGGGGCTTGCTCTGAAACAGCTGGAGCGCACCACGTGTGCTCCCAGAGCACACCTCCCAGTAAGGTCACGTGGAAGGGACCTAATTCATGCCCCTCTGGACCACTGCAAGGTCAGCCAATGCACAAGACGTGGGCATAATCAGGAGATTCACATCAAAAGGTACCGCTGATCTGAATTAAAATGCTAATATAGACACAACCACGGCCTGATGCGAACGGTACCCATATTTCTATGTTCTGTGCATCTCCTTTGCCCTCCTGCGTCAAGCGGTGATAACCCAGAGCAATCTGTAACACTGTCGTTTGTCACCGCAGACAGCCAGAGACTGCTGCTAACGCCACGCCATAGCATCCCCAAATGCAACTGGCAGGAGCACCTTGATTGGGATGCAGGGAGCTGCTCCTTCTAAAAAACTCTCTTGCTAAGTAGCATTACACACTAGAGATGTGTTGGTGGAAGCCAAGAAAATGGGAAATTTTGCAACCTGGTGACATTTGCTGGTGAGGGGAGCTTTTGCTGAAATTAAACTCATGGTACCGGCTTGAGAATACAGCTAGTAATTTTGCAGGGTGACAAACTAGACCCACCCAAACTATGCCTTTCACTGAAATCAATGGAAGTTAGAGGCTTATAGCCTCTGTGGCTTTGAGCTTTAGTTTCCTAGGCCTACATCTTGGAGAGTGTCAGGAGATTTGGTGCTCCATTTCTGACATATTTAAACAGCCCAAATTTCAGAAAGCTTAGTTCAGTGCTTTCACGAGTTGAGTCTACCAGCATCCCAAGCTGTGACACTGTAACCTCAAAAGTTATTTGACTTGCTTAATAATCTTTCCTGCATGCATGTAGATAATCTCCCATTATACAGGCACATACTTCTATTAATAATGAGTGTTTTCCAGGGACGAGGCATAAATCTGTATCTATGCCACATGCAGTTTGTGCTTAAGTCTATATCACACAGACCCAAGCAATAAGGTGTGAGGAAACAGTGCTCACCCCATCACTCTTAATTTCTGCAAAGAGTGATGTTAATAACACCTGGTACTCACAGCACTGTGCCGGTGCTTTTCCTCTTGATCCTGAAGTGCGAGGAGTCATCTGCAAACTCCACGTCGTAGCTGGCCTCATCAGCGGCAACCCCCGGGGAGTCGATCTTGAGTGGGACTTCAAACCGCTGCCTGTTGGGGTCGTAGAGCTAAAGCAAGGCAAGGAGGAGGCAGATTAGCTCATTCAGTAGCATGCATTGCCTTGGTTAAATGATTCCCCCCCCAAATACTCACCCTGAACCGGAGTCTGTCCCTTGTCTGGAACTCCACTTCGAAGACAATTGGGGAAATGTCATTTCCGAAGAGGGACAAGGCCTGGCGCTTGTTCAGCGTTACCCTGCGGCAGAAACACGCACTGCCGCCCATCGCCACTGCTTGCTGCCTGTGAGCACCCTGGCATGGCAGGGGGGAACAACTCAGATATTCTACCTCAGCTCTTTAAAAATAAATCATTGACTTATCGAGAGAAATAATCTCTGAGGTTAGCTTAGGCTCTCCTTGCTGTTAATAGACAAAATAGATGGACCTGAAGCAAGGAGACCTCATGGTCTGCTGGGACACAGCTCCCAGGGTGCGAGGGATGACCCTGTGCCAGCGCCTGGTTTCCTCACCGGCAGCGTGGTGTGAGCACAGGACCCCAGCTCTGCACCCCTTACACGCGGTGAAACACGTCCGTTATCCTCCTCGTCACAAGCTGAGCACGCGGTAGCAAAGCGACTTGGGAAAGGTCTCTGGCGAGCTGCGAGCTGCCCCCGGGGCGGCAGCGGTGGTTGCCGTGCAGTGCCGGACTGCAGCACCGAAGGAGCCACGCACACTTACCTCCAGCCTTTGGCTGTCTTCTCGGTGTTCCCGCCCCAGGAGTAGCCGTAGGGACTGTCCTCAGGGAAGAAGCACCAGGGAGCGTTGGCCACGTCGGTGGCGCACCAGGTGCAGGCCCGCGCCTCGCAGGCCTCCTGGGAAGCACCCGGCTGGGGGTGGCAATCGATGCGCTTCTGCACCGCCACAGCCCCGGCACACTGCCTGTCTTGGCCTGAGCCGAGGCACCCACCTAGGGCTGGACCCGGGGAAGAAGCAGTCAGAGCAGCAGAGAACCATGTTAAAAAAACCCACAAGGCACTGCTCTTTAGTTACGCTTTTTTTGTTGTGTTTTTTCCCCATTTTGGGGCTAACATATGATTCTTTTGACTGAAATGACGGAAGAGCAGCATGTCTGCTTGTGACCGAGACAAGAGCAACCAGTTTCTTTTACGAGCCAAGGCAGTGGGTCTGTGTTGTTCAGTGCTCCGAGTTGCTGGTACTCAGCTGAAGCATGACTCGCTTGAAGTACTCATGGAAAATTAAATAGCAGGCTAATGAAACTGCTGGTGAGGTGCGAGAGCAACCCTTCAGGCTAGCTGAACTGGAGGTGTACGTCACTAAGGACTAAAACTGTTGTAGCATTTTAATATCAATATTTTCTGTATACTTATTCTTTCTCATATACACAGAGGTTATCTATATATACATAGATACAAGTATGTGAAATCAGCACGCACTGTATGATAGATATAAATATAAAAATACTGATTACATATATGTTTGTGTTAGGCTTCATTTCTATATTATATGACTACTACATCTATGTAGTATTAGTAGAGTTTGTGTTCATACAGGTATGGTTATGATTAAAGGGAATATACCAGCAGTAAGAAGAAAAGGCACAAGTTAGTCATTTGCAGAATCATTCTGACAAAACACTCTTAGTAAGGTGCTAAATCTTTTCCTTTCTGCAGCTGCAGGTCGAGCCCTGTGGTTTCCCTGTGCAGAGCAAGCCTCCTGGGAGCGGGGGGACCACGAGACCAGCTCCCTGCCGTGCCAACAAAACGCTCTTATCAAATATTCTTAAAGTGAGCAGGCATAATGCAGACAGCACTCTTATTTTGAAGTTAACTTATGTCATTTTAGTCATTACAGCAATATTCAGAGAGAAAATCTACTTGAAAGATAATTGCTCTTTTCCATAAAGTGACTAATACCTCTGCTTTAAACTGTTTTTATGTGGACTGTTGTGTGCTTGAAAGCTTAAAACATAATTGCTGAGGCATTCTGAGCTTTTCTAAATAAAGAACTTTACAAGCAGATGTGCACAAGCAATAATTATATATACTGGGAAAATTTACAGACTAAAACTGTAGATTCACTAGAAAATGCCATCATGCTGCGATGCCAGAGTTGATTTCCAAGTAGGGGATGGGAATGCAGAAAAGCAGGAGCTGAGTGTCATCTACATTTGTCTTTTGAGAAAACTCTCATCCCCACCTTTGATGTGGGAGCATCTGACACTCAGGCCTGACGCTCCTGGGATGTGCAGTAGAGCTCGCTCCTCTCTGCCACACCACCTTGTATCACCTTCTAGAGGCAGGATATAAGGGGCAAAATCCTGTTAACCTTCGCCGGCTGCCAGACAGGCAGGCTTGGCTTCCACCTTTGTTTTCTGGGGTGGACAGTCATGCCCCAACAGGCTGGCTGCTTTCTGTCCAGCATTTACCCCCTGTGATCCGTCAACATAGGAAAGCTCTAAATTCTGATCCCCTTTTTCATCCAAAGAAAAATAGGAATATGAATGTCCCTCTGCAATCCCTAAATTATTTCTTCTTGGAGCAGAAATCAGGGAGGATTCATCAATGGTCTCATGAAACACTGAAGACTCTGGGCCTTGCCTTTTCATACTCTGTCCCTGATGAAGATGTGGGAAAGACATACAGGCTGCAGGTCCCATGGAAATAACTGCCATGCCTTTGTGCCACTATGCACCAAATACTCCTGCTTATTGAGGGAGAGGTAAAAGGATTTCAAAGGCTTCCCGCAGCCCTCTGGATCCTGAAGTCCTTAAACCTGTGCAACCACAGAGGCTAAAAAAAAAATGACGTACCAAGTACCACCTCTGCGCTCAATGCATGGCTTCTGTGTCTAGCAGCTTTGCACTGCTGTGCCTTGCACATTCGAGTTAAGACCTTGGCAGACGAAGGACAAAATAGAGTAAACCCGTCACATTTCATTTAGGTTTTGGCGTGTTTTTTTCTAGTGGGAGTCAAATGTAGCATCAGTGTTTTCATTGCTGAAATCAAAGAATACGACTGAACATACTACAGCATATTATTAACTTGGTGTCATTTTACATAGCATAGGTTCACGGGAGACTTTTATCAACTCATTTGTATAATAAAATACTTTCAAAATACTTCATAAGGATATTGTGAATGAAAAAGCTAGTTCAAGGGAAAAAAATTTGCCCCAGCAGGAGCCAAGAAATTCCACCCCCCCCTCCATCAATGTGAAGCTTAAATTTTCCAGCAACTTTTGAAAACAAGCACTTGCGGGTATGAGCAGCTGAACAAGGCTGCAACCTCATTCATCCCTTGTTCCTGGATTTACTTCTATTACAGTACAAATGGGATAGTAGCAAGTGGGAAGATGCAATTTTCCTTCCCTACTGTTTAAAAACATTTTTATTTTAAAATCTCCACATCATTTTCACTGCATTTATGGCCCATGTTTGTAAATGTACACAGAAGATGAAATGCAAACGAGCAGTTGAATTTAGCAATAGCTATGGCTACTTGCTGCTTTTCACGATAATTTCCATGGGAACAGAAGCTAAAAAGAGGTAGTTTGAAAAATTATCGCCATTGATTTTTAAAAACTCTGACTTCAATTTTGTGAAGTTAGGTTAGAAAATGCTGCAATAAGGCATAAGCAAGGAATTAAAATATTACCACACCCCTTTTAATTTAATAGCATAGCCTTTACATTTTGGGTTCATCCACACGTTTCAAAGGCTTTTGCTGCAGAGTTTCCCTCTTCCTTTATCTAGCAACATAATAAGATGTATTTTCCTTTTATTAGACTCTGGACTGAGTTAACCTCTGGTATACTGCGGTAAAAATCACAGCAAACAAACTAGCAAAGCACAGGGTAGCTTTCAGCAGCTGAATGGTCCCATTGACTCCAGTGTGTCTGTGCTGGTGCCCAACAGCTGAATACGTTGTTGGACTGGGGTATATTTCTAAACAAGCCAGCCCTACTGTCTTCCCCACAGAGTCACCTCAGGTGGAGTTAAAGCCATGCCCATTCTCTCCTTTTCCATGTAAAAAGATCGCCTCCCCTAATAGCTTTTTTATTGTTATCACATTTATATCTTGCTTTTGAAGCCTATGACAAAATACAAATGCCATACATTTACCTGCTAGCAGAACAGCCAAGAAACACAGACTCCTGCTCCTCTCCATGGCTGAACGTTGATTTCTGCAGGCAGCAGAGAGCCTTTTATCCAAGGCAGGGGCACAATAAGCATTTTTTCCAATACATAAAAAGAAACATTGCAAATATTTTCTCAGCATTTGTATCTTACATGAAATTAATTATAACACATGACCCTGCCTGTATTTAAGAATGTATCTAAGCAGATAAGATGCGATGTAGTTACTAATTTGTCCACAAACTTTGCTCAACTTCTGAATTCCAACTTTGAGAGAGAACATGATTTTTCCCATGACTTCTTAGAATTCTTAGAAAATTAATTTTTCAGTCCACCTTCTTTTTTTTTTAAAACAAACATCTTCAGACAATTGGAGTCCAGTGCTTACCTTTTTCTAATTTCATATTATCTTTTGTCACATATGTAGTTTTACAGTACAAATGAAAAGTTTGGAGAAAAACAAGCAGTTGAACAATTCTCTATTACTCAGCAAGCTATTCTACTGCATTGTGTAAAATTGTGCATTTTATATTCGGGGCCTTTGCAAGGGAAGCGAGTTTTTTTATAAGGAAGTATGACGAAAAAGGCAAAGAGAAGTAGTCCACATTCACAGCTTTATTTAAGTGTTACCTACATAAGCTATAATTTACAGACTGATATTTTCTGGAAAAAAAACCAACCAAAAAGCCCTCAATATCCAAACACTGTATGTGAATCTACATAAATTTTTAAAATTTGCAGAATTTACAAATTAATATTCAGAGCAGTTGGGTAAATTATACATCCTCCCTCAATATCCACACTCTAAGAGCTTTAAAAGTCATACAGGCACACGATAAGGTATTTTCTTTGTACAACCATCTATTTACATAGCTTTTTCCAATACACGTGGTTCAGTTCTCAAAGTAACCGCCAAGGTTTGCAAAACAGTGTATTTAAAATACATTTAGCAGCATATAAAATTAGATAAAAAGGAAAGACATTTTGCTTTAAAAAAGAAAGTGTGAGATGATAGAAATAAATCCATAAGAAAAATAGGTTAAGATATATTTCTGTTATGACATTAAGAACACCTAGTCATTACAGAATATAGGCAAAACACTAATAAAACATACCAATTTAGGAGCATTTGAGTTCTAGTCCTGAGCACAGAGTATACATAGCTGCACAACTTTGGTCAACAAGGATTATATGCTAACATTAACACAAATCATGTGGCATTCACTGTTAGCAGGATACAGCCATGTCAGATAGATGTGTCATTAACAGCTTCTTCCCATCTTGTATTCGCTCCACTTTCCTAACAACAGTGTAAGTGACCTTTAGAATCTTGAAACAACGCCTGTTGTAATCAAAGGCTTATTACTGGGGCATCATCATTCCCCCTCTACCCTAAAACGCAAAACAGCTGATCATACTTGCGAGTGAAATACAGAGAGCACTTTTGTTATATATTCCAGGTTATAATTTTGAGATGGTCATTAAAGACGACTGATTTCCCGTTAATTTTAACTGCAAGTGTTACATAAGCACACAAATTCAGCCATAATATATAGACATATATATGTGACCACTGAGACACAAGCATGTTACCAAGAGGTTATTTTTTTCTTAAATACAGTACATATTTTAAGGACAGCAGGTCTAAGTAGAAGAGTTCACTCTTATTTTTCAGTTTATTCCAGTCATCAGTGTTTACCTAATAAGCTATGCAGCAAACTGCATAGAGTGCACCTCAAATTCATTAATATATTCATTTATCCCCATCATTTCAATTACTGGCAAGATCTTCACTTGCATCTCCTGCATCTGAGCTCTGTCCGTCTATTACATTTCGAGCTTTCCAGATCCTCACAGTCCGGTCACTGAAAAACAAAACAAAGCAGTATTAGAGCTAGGTAATTAAAATGCGGGGAGGGGGACAGGGAAGCTTTCTTAAAAGCTCGGCTGTCTTATTCAGAAAAGCATTGTTGGCAAAATAAGATTTCCTTAATGGATATGCAAGGGTCATTCCACCTCCAGGAGACTTTGTAAGCTAAGACGTACAACATTTGATTCCCTAACCTTATCACAGCACTGGCTACTACCTTTAACCATCTAGGCAAGTATAAAGATTATATGTCTTAAGGAAAGTAAATCCTACTCTGCTATTACTTAATTTTTTAAAATACAGCTAATGGTAATAGGCTTAAGTAGACTGACATCAGAGAAGAGCTTCCATCCTGTAACTATTTGCAACTCAGCAGACCACAAGCAAACAGCCAGCGTACTACAGAATTAGAGACAGACTCAGTAGGACAAGACTACATCCTGCCACTAAAAGTGTGAAAAGTTACAACAGGTTAAATCAAACAAGACCTGAAACATGCTCCGTTTGTGCGAGAGGTGTCAGTCTGTTATAAGAAAAGGTAAAAAAAAAAGCACAGAAGCACAAGATGATACAAAGTCCTAAACTGCCCCCCCAAAAAAAACAGAACCCTTTGCCAGGTGCTGGAAAGCATATACCAGTGAGCTGGTGTTCAGAAGCCCAGAAGAGGCAAGCTATAATTCTGTACTTCTGGCAACAATCACTATTTACACAACTTTGAAGTACGTGTAAGTAAAGTATCACATGGAATGTGTTAAAAAACTCTATTATCATAATTAAAAAGTAAAATAAAGAATTAGTCTTGTTAAATAGCAATTTATCCTGTGCAAGAGAAATTATGAATTTCTCGTAAACATCGAGTTACATGACTAGCAAACTTGACTCAGGTATTCCTTACAACCCCCTCAAAAAAAGCCAGGAGGCAGCAGTCAGGACAGACTTTATCACAGTATAGAGGTTTTCCGACTTGAGCTTTCACTTCACTGTAAATTATCAGGAATACACCAAGTTCTGTAGACCTTCACCACAATGTTACAAGTGCCGAAAGGCTGGGATTTTCTTTCACTAGTAATAAGGAATACATTTCAGGTGCATATGTGTTCTAAACTTATTAATAATCTTTAGGCAAACAGAGACATAAGCCTTGACAACTCTACCCCTATCTATTAATGCTTAAACATAGAAATTGACCACCAAATGTGGAAACCTGGCAACTTTGAAATTGTGCTTCGATTCAGAAAGACCTGCTTTCAATTCAGAAGGCCAGAAGCTTCCGCAACTGGCACTAGAAGATAACACGACAGCTTTCACAGCTCCTGTGCACAGACTATGCCACTAAGCGGGCTCTGCTGCTGTCTCCTGCACTTTCTCCAGAATGAGATATTTTTCTTGGTCATGTCCCTTGAGGTTTCAGGTACTTAATTTGCTCACTTTTACTGAGGAAGCAAATACTCAAATCAAGGTGTTTAAAGGACAGTAGGATGGCTTGCAAAGCTTCTGCTACACACCAGCACTTAAAAAACCAACCAAACAAAACCAAACCAAAAAACAACCACATACCATGGCTTTTAGAAAAATTCCCACAGGTCAAGAATCAGTCCTAGCAGTAAATAGCCCAGCTGTAGAGACAAGCTGGTAAAGTTCTCAACTATTGCCAAATTGTCCCCACCATCCCATAGATCACTGGTTTCCAAACTTTTTTGATTATGCATCCCTACCACTAAAAAATTTTTGAGGACACATCCCAATGTGTATTTATTGATTTATAAATTATGTACATGTACTATTAAAGTCCTAATATTTTCTTCCCGTGCCCCAGTGGATCATGTTGTGCATCCCCTGGGGTGCATGCACCCCACTTCGGAGATCACTGCAGTAGATTATTAGCATTTAGGGGCATGGACCAGGTGTTCCCATGCTTGCTATGAAATGACTTACACAGCTGAAGATCTCCTAAATGCATTTGCATGGACAGAATTCTAGAAGGAGCTATGGAAAAGAAAGATGCATGGAGAAGAAAAACTCACTCTGCTGCTGTGAAAATCTGGCTGGAGTTGGTGCAGATTGCATTTATAGGGCTGTCGTGTCCCTTCATCTCCCCAATGGGTGCGAAGGTATCCACATTCCAGAGCTTGAGGGTGCCTCCTCTGCAGCCACTGAGCAGAACCGGAGCGCCAGGTACCAGGCCAAGGGCACACACCCAGTCTTTATGAGCATTAGGAACTTGCTGAAAAAGAGAAAGCAGGCAGGTCTCACAGGGCTGCAAAGACTTCTGGAGGAATGAGCACAGAAATGGAAAAATCCCAAGTTCTAAGCCCGATTGCTGTCCTGCTGTAGATTTGCTACATGACGCTGGGTATATCCCAGCCCTGTGGCTTCTCCTCCTTTAGAGCAAGGAGAGTGCTATCTTCCATGAGGCCACTTCTATGCCATGAGTTTGTTTCTCTTCGTGAAATAGTACTGCAAAACAAGAAAAAAATCCAATACACACAACTGACCTGATGTGGAACAGAAATTAATTTAGGATAATGCTAAATCTGCATATGTTCAAATGCATATTTGAATGCATGTTTGAACATATGGTCTCTGTATATGTTTCAAGTCTGACTGTAAAACAGTTATAAAACACATAAAAAGAAAATCCAAAATACAGCTCAAAAAATCCACCAGTGAGACAGAAACTGTTTCTGTATTTGCCTTCCTCCTTTCTTCTTTTCCCATTACACATTATAAATTGATTTTGTGATGTAGCACTTAACAAAAATACATTAATTCTTTATTGAGGATGGATACTAGCATTGTACTGCTAATTCAGAAAGCAAAATGCTGCACAGGCCAGCTGAGAACAACATCCATTTGATACCAATGCTGGGGAAATAACAGCCCAAGTTTGCTGTCTTTTAAGGGCACCAAGAGTGGCTCTTCTCCAGTTCAGTTTGGTAAGAACTGCTTTGGTTTGCTGCCTTTCTCATATTATGGAGCACATTCAGCTTTCTAGGATCATCTTGGCATTTTATCTGTAATATACACTGCTATCACACCACCAGCAGTCTGGTCCTGCAGCACTTCATGAAACTGGGGAGAGTGGGGGTGAGGGGGTGTTCTTATAAATCTTAATTTTGTCACAGAGGCATTTTGTGGCTTGGGTTGTATAGCACCAAGTG